TTGCTGCTTTATAATACAATTTAAGATCTGGAATGGCTAGGCCACCTTCCCCTGCATTTCTTTTCATTAGTTCTCTTATCAAGGTACCTTTCTGGACTGTTTTTTTCTTTCAATGAATCTTGTTATTATTTTATCTAACTCTATAAAATATTATTTTTTTGTAGTTTGATTGGTATGGCACTGAAGAAGTAAATTAGCTTAGAAAGAATTGTCATTTTTATTATATATTACCTCGGCATACCCATGAGCAACTGATGTTTTTCTAATTATTTGGATGTTATTTTATTTGTGTGAATTTGTTGGCATATAGTTGGGCAAAATGATTCCTAATTATTGTTTTAATTTCCTCTTCCTTGGTGGTAGCTTCACCCTTTTCATTCTTGATACTAGTAATTTGGTTTTCTTCTTTCTTTTTTTTAATTCAGACAGATTCTCATATCTACTTGTTCATTTAATCTGTTGCAATGCATTGTTTTGGTTAAAGAAAATCTAGTCTTAAACAGATGTGTAGTTGGAAAATGGAGAAACATTTTAATAGGCAAAGGATATCACAGGATGATGGTAATTGATGATAAAGAAGAAGAAAATGATTTTGACCTTGAAAACCCCTAAAAATGTCTAGGGATCCCCATAGGGATCTCCAGACTATAATTTGAGAAATGTTGGTTATCTTCTAAAACTGTTTTTGGTATGAAATTTAATATTCAGTTCACAGAGCAAGTTTTGCTTCATTATGGCACATAGTATAAGTAGCTGGTATGAGCACAATTTCTTCTAGACTGCTTTATAGTTTTCTTAGCAATTCTTGTCAAATAGGTAGTTATATATGAGGCAATTTATCAATTAATTTAATTTCATCTGAACTTTCATTTAAAAAATCTTCCTTTTCTAGGTAATTCCATTTTTCTATTTCTATATTTTATAAAAACAGAACCAAATAATTATAAATTGATTTATAATTTAGTTTGTGTTCTAGAAGTGCTATTTCTCTTTCATTTCTACATTTTTCCAACGATTCCACTTGACAGTCTACATAATTTTAGCCTTCACAGTTGGCCTTAAACCCCTCTTTACCACTTAATTTTTTTCTGGTACTTGAGGTAAAGATTCTCTCCTTTTTTGTTGTCATATCTCAAAATTAATTTTGTTATTATTTTGTCTCATTCTATTAAATATTCCCATGGTAGTTAGAATCATATAGCACTAATTCTGTAAATTATTTTAGATATTATTTTCAATATGAAGTGCTGAATTTCCTTCCAGTTGCTTGTCTTCTTTTATTTAAGAAACATTTGGTTATTCTATTTACAAAAGTCTGTGTTTTGGTAAACTGACTCCGTAATATTTTATGCATTTTATCATTATTTTGAATGAGGCTTCTCTTTCTATTGTTCCTTCATACATTTTGTTATTGTCACATAGAAATGCTATTGATCTTGGTGGGTTTATTTTGTACTCCATTCCTTTATTCAAGTTATTATTTCTCAATTAGTTGTTTTGCTGATTCTGTAGAATTTTCTAAGCAAGCCATGATGTTATTAGCAAAAGGGTAAAATTTTGACTCTCTTTGGCTATTTTTAATCCTTTAATTTCTTTCTCTTTATTGCTATTACTAGAATTTCTAGGCTTATGTAAAAAAAAAAAGAAAAGAACAACAGCAATGAAGAAGCATCCTTAATTTAGTTCTGTAATTACTTGATAGGGTTTTTTTTTTCACTGCATGCAATTCTAGCTTTTGATTTTAGATATGTACTTTTATTATGTTATAAATGTTCCTACCTTGCCTATGCATTGTAGTTTTTTTTTGTTTTTAGCATAAATGAACAATGCATTTTGTCAAAGCATTTTCTGCATCTATTGATATGATGATGGTTTTGGATATTTTTATTTTTAATGTCATTAATTTTTTTCTCCTAATGTCGAATCATCTTTGTATCACTGGCCCAAGTACAATTTGATATTAGTAATTTTTCATAAATTGCTTTAGACTTTTTGCCAAGAATAATTTTAAATAGATATTTATTAATGAATACTTATATAAAAACCACACAAAGCATAGCCATAGGTGACCTTTTATAATATGATTGAAAAAATGTTTGCCAACAGTAGTTCCATAGTTTTCTTTCTTTTCTTTATCCTCCCTATTTCAGGTATTAGGATTATATTTACTATATAAATTGAGTTTGATATAGTGTTTTCTTCCTCACTTTTAGGACAATTTCTGAGATTTTCTGATTTTCTATAGATCAGATCTTCACATTATTCATTGCTGGGCCTGTACTCAGCAATAGACCTGCCATATTTATGCTTTATGGGAAGAACATGAAAAAACCCCTGCTCAATTCCATTCTGTGAAAGATACTGAAAGAAACGTACTGATGAGCCACCTAAAATTAAAGTCTGACTCTCTTTACATTTATAATTGTGTTCTCTGTATTATTTTTGACATCATTTCATCCTTTAGGAAAAAAAATGTTAGGTCACCAAAGAATACATAGGTGATCAATTTATTTTGTATTACATATTTCTTTCATTTAACAAGCTCCTTATGCAGAAGCCACAGTCTATGATTGGGACTATTTAAAAAGTCATTCCCACTTGCTAGAACTCCACCAAAATATTCTACCTTGGCACAGCCTTTGGAAACACAGAGATACCTGCATTCCATGTTGAAGCATAAGAACTAGGGTTGATTCACTTTCTGTTATGGTATCTTATGAATAAAACTTGAGTTTTTTTCTGGGAAATGTAGATAGAAATTTAGAAATGAATGATATAAAATGCTACTAAAATCCTTCTCCATTATTACTATTAGTTTAAAAAATACCATTAATAGAATTCGTCATGAGTGAATAAGTGATTTTTATTCTCCTTAGCTACCAGTCTGTTAATGTTTTACAACCTTGTAATTAAAGGAAGAATTCCACTAGTGATTTGTTACAATACTATTTTAAGGGCACATTAATAAAAGAATCTTCAGGTGAATTCTGCATGCAATCATACCTGCTATAACTATAGAAATTCTGAGAAAGCTCATTTTTCTAAAGGACATTTTCATTTAGGTAAAAGAAACCAGGGAATTACATTACTTTTTTTCTGTGTCACTTTAAAGTTTTAAGTAAATATGCCACAAAATAAGATTAATATGGAATAATCTGCTAATGGGCAGATCTATTATTTTTCTTCAGGCCTTGAAAGGGTTTTTTTGCCAGTAAAAAAGTGCAAAGTATTATCCCTAAAACTGGAGAATTGATGGAATTTTATTGATTCAGAGATCTGATTTTCTTCCTAAAACTGGTTTCTGACATGTAATTTATACATTTAATTTTTTCTTTTAAAAAATATAGATTTTATTTAACTACATAGTTCACAATTAAGGTTTTTTTTTGCTTCCACTATTAAAGAATTTTCTTTCTATGCCTCTTTTGTGTGGGATAATTTCCCCATTCTTTTCTCTTCTCCTTTTGTATTTTGATTTCTCACCTCTTCTTCTTCTCCTCTTCCTCCTCCTCCTCCTCCTCTTCCTCCTTCTTCTTCTCCCATTATCCCAGCATAATTGACTCACACACATACCCTTTGTCTATGTAGACTACTTCTAATTGCCCTAAAAATGATAAAGTTCTTAGGAGTTCCATGTATCATCTTCCTAAATAGGAATTTAATCAGTTTAACTTTATTGAGTCATTTTTTAAAAATTTCTCTTTCTTGTTAAACTTTTTTTTATGCTTCTCTTAAGTTTTGTTTTTGAAAGTCCAATTTTCTTCTTGTCTCTGGTCTTTTTCATCAGGAAGGCTTTATTTTATTAAATATTCTTTTTCCACCTCAAGAGTTATACATAGTTTGGCTGGATATATTATCCTTGGTTATAATCCTAGCTACTTTGCCTTCTGGAATATAAATCTTGTGTGATCCTGATTGTGGTTCTAGATATTTGAATTGTTTCTAACTGCTTGCACTATTTTCTCTTTGACCTGGGACCTCTGGAATTTGGCTATGTTTTTCCTGGGAGTGTCCATTTTGGGCTCTTTTTCAGGAAATGGTCAGTAGATTCATTCAATTTCTATTCTACCCTCTGAACCTAAGATTTTGGAAAAGTATTTTTTTATAATTTTTTGATATATTTTTTCTAACCTCTTTTACCATGGCTTTCGGTAGTCCAATAATTCTTAAATTATCTACCCTTGATCTATTTTAAGTCATTTTTTCTAATGCGATTTTTCATATTTTCCTTTGTTTTTCCATATGTTTCACTTTGCTTTTATTGTTCTTTGATGTCTCATGGAGTCATTAGCTTCTACTTTCCCAATTCTTTTTTTTGAGGAATTATTTTCTTCAGTGAGCTTTTGTACCTCTTTTTCCATTTGGCCATTTTTGCTTTTTAAGGAGTTCTTTTCTTCAATGAATTTTTGTGCCTCTTATACATGGGGCCATATCTTTTTCTTTTTAAGTTGTTTTCTTCAGTTATTGTGTGTGTGTGTCTTATACTGTGCTGCTAATTCTCTTATCTTACATTTCTTACACAACTCATTTCTTTCCCCCTTTTTTTTCTAGATTACTCTTACCTCTTTAACTCTTCTAGAAATTGTTGTTGGTCTTTTGCTCAATTAAAACATTTCATTGATGTTTTGCTTTTAGCTACTATTTTTTTGTCTTTTTCTGAATTTATGTCTTATTCCTGTACCATAGTAGCTTTTTATGGTCAAATTTTTTTTTGTTTCCTCAATTTCCTAGGCTATTTCTTGACTTTGAATTTTGTGTTAAAGTTGGAATTTGCTCACCTGAGAGTAAAAAGGCATTGATACAGCTTTAGGGTTTTTTTTGCTATTGTTTTCAGTAATAGTTGTGGGTTTCTGCAAGTTTTAGGTGCTTCCAAGTTGGTGTGATCTGGGGAGAGCTGTGGTCACTGACCTTCTGATTTGTTCTATTGTATTTTGTCACAAAGGGCCCTCGTTCCCCTGCAGCCATAAGTGCTAGAATTCCTTTTGGCCCTAGAACTACAATCAGATCACCCTTTTTCCTGCATTTTTAAGTGATGGCAGTCCTTTCTGCCTCTGAATTGCAACCAGGCTACCCGATTCTATGGGACTGACAACAAGAGCCCTTCTGAGGTATGGAACTGCCCAAAAAATGTTACTTCAAACTCCTTATGGTCAAACATCAGTACCTTTGAACACAGTGCCACCAAAGAGTCCCCTGTAATCTATTTCTAATCATTTGTCTTTCCCCCTTAACTATTTTTGGGATGAGAACTCCCAAATTTGCTGCTACTGCTTTTGCAGCTATCTACAAAACCCACAGCTAGGGCCAAAGCTATATGGGTTCTGGTCATGAACCTCCTGGTGTCACAGACATTTACTACCTCAACTTCCTTATTGTCTTAGGCTGGAAAAATGTCTAAAACAAACCTTCATTGGCTCTGCCGGTCCAGAATTTGATTTAATACATTAGTTTACATTTATTTGGGGTGGAATATTGTGAAAGTTCAGCTGGTTTGTTTGCTGCTTCTACTCCATCTTGGCTCTTCCTTGATAATTTCTTGAAATATTATTTCTAGGACCTTTTAAAAATTGTGGCTTTCAAGTAGTGCAATAATTTTTAAATTATCTCTCATCAATATTTTATGGGTTGATTGTTTTCCAATTATATATTTCACATTTTATTTTTTGTGCTTTTGACTTTGTTTTAATTTTTTTCTATTAATTTATTTTGATTTATCAACAAGCACTTCCATAAGTTTTGGGTTTTACGTTTTTCTCCCCCTCCCTCCCTACCTCCCTTCTCAAGATGGCATGCAATCTGATATAGGCTTTACATATACATTCCTATTAAACATATTTTAACATTAGCCATGTTGTGAAGAAGAATTACAACCAATAGGAGAAACCACCAGAAAGGGGAAACAAAACACAACAGATGAAAAAAAAATAGCAAGTAGTATGCTTCAATCTGCATTCAAACTCCATACTTCTTTCTTTGAATGTAGATAGCATTTTCCATCATGAGGCCTTTAGAGATGGCTTAGATCCTTGCATTGCTGAGAAGGGTGAAGTCTATCAATACTAGTCATCGCACAATGTGTCTGTTACTGTGTACTACATCCTCCTGGTTCTGCTCACTTTACTGAGCATCAGACCATACAAGTCCTTCAGGGTTTTGCTGAAGTCTACCTGCTCATCATTTCTTGCAGCACAATAGTATTTCATTACATTCATATACCACAGCTTGTTCAGCCATTCCCCAATTGATGGGCATCCCCTCAATTTCTAATTCTTTGCCACCATGAAAAGAGCTGATATAAATATTTTTGTTCATGTGGGTCCTTTTCTCATTTGTATGATCTCTTTGAAATACAGCCCTAGAAGTGCTGTTGCTGGGTCAAAGGGTATTTATGGAGATTTATGGAGAACAGAAGAATTCATCACCAAACAGGAGACAGCATTATGAAATGCAGAATGGATAACTTTGATTGCATCAAATTGAAAAGTTTTTCACAAAGCCAATGCAAGCAAGATTAGAAGGAAAGTAGAAAATTGGAAAATATTTTTTACAACCAGTGTCTCTGATAAGGGCTTCATTTTTAAAATATATAGAGAATTTTAAGTCAAATTTCTAAGAATACAAGTCATTCCCCAATTGATAAATTGTCAAAGGATATGAGCAGGCAGTTTTCAGATGAAGAAATTAAAGCCATCCATAGTCATATGAAAAAATGCTCCAAATCACTATTGATTGGAGAAATGCAAATCACAACTACTCTGAGGTACCACATCATACCTATCAGATTGGCCAACATGACCAAACAGGAAAATGATAAATGTTGGAGAAGATGTGGGAAAATTGGAGCACTGATGCATTGTTGATAGAGTTGTGAAATGATTCAACCGTTTTGCAGAGCAACTTGGAACTATGTCCAAAGGGCTATAAAAATGTGCGTGCCCTTTGTTTTAATTTTTATTGATGTGTCATGGAGTCATTAGCTTCCACTTGCATAAATCTAATTTTTAAGGAATTATTTTCAATAAGCTTTTGTACCTCTTTTTCCATTAGACAATTTCTGTTTTTTAAGTGTTATTTTCTTCATAATTTTTGTGCTTCTCTTAACATGCTATTAATGGTCTTGTCATAATTTTCTTCCTTTGCTCTCATGTCTTTATTTAATTTTTTCTTTACCATTTTTATTTAATTTTAAAAATATTTTACCTCTTCAAGAAATTCGTTTTGGCCTCATTTTAAATTCACATTTTTCTTTGAGGCTTTGCTTGTAGTTGTTTTGACTTCATTGTCTTCTTCTGAGTTTGTGTCTTGATCTTCCCTGATCGTATAGTATATTTTTGTTGTCAGATTCTTTCTTTTTTCGTTATTTGCTCATTTTTACCAGCTTATTTCTTGACTTTCAAGTTTGTTAAAGTTTTTTTTTTTTTTGCCAGCAGGGAAGGGTTTCAGGCTTTTTTATACTGTTGTATTCAGAGCTAGTCCTGGGGTTTTGCAATTTTTCCATGCTTTTGAGGTGGTGTGATCTGTGGAGATGTGCAGTCACTGCTTTCCTGGTCTATACTCTGGTCCTTACTCAGAAAGTGCCCCTGACCCCTTGCGATTGCAATGGATAATGGTTTTAAGGGACTGTACTCCCTTGGGACCCAAAGCAATACTACTCCTCAGGGCCATTTCTCCCTTGGGATAGCAAGTGATACTGCTTTTCCAAGTCCTTGCTCCCTCATAACCAAAAGTGTTCCTTTCCCCTCATTAAGTGTGGTCCAGAATTGGATATGGGTAATGAAGTTGCCAAACACAGTCTAGTCCTGTGTCCAATGTAAGCACAATGATCCCTTATAATCTCTTTCTGACCAACTTTTTTTTTTTGTGAGGCAATCAGGGTTAAGTTGCCCAGTGTTACACAGTTAGTTAAGTGTCAAGTGTCTGAGGTCAGATTTGAACTCAGGTCCTTCAGACTCCAAGGCTGGAGCTCTGTGCACTGTGCCACCTAGCTGCCCCTCTTTCTGACCAATTGCCTGATCCCATTACTATCTCTGGCTTGAGAGCTTTGAAGTTCCTGATGCTGCTGTCACCTCCCCTAAGTCCTATGACTCATGTTGTATCCATGTGATCTCCAGCCCAGCTTCTACCCTTATGTCGCAGGTCTTTCCTTCTGACCTCCTAGTTGTCTTGAGTTGGAAGAATATCTCACTCTGACCTTTTGCTGACTTTGCTGCTCCAGAATTAGATTTGAGGCATAATTTTAAAGAAGTTTGGAGGGGAATATTGGAGAGCTTGGCTGTAGTGTTTCCTTTACTCTGCCATCTTTGCTACACCCACAAAAGTCCTAAACATTTTTTCCTCAATGAGCAATTTTTTCAGGGACTTTTAACAGTGACCCACACAATTAAATGTTGTTCATTGGATAATTTGTCACATTAGATTGTAGATAAGACTGAGACTTAGTTTTCTCTACCACATTTATACTATGAGCAGTACAATGTCATGATTGCTTGCAGAGGTGCTTCAGGAGTTTTTCAGATAAAGTGACATATTTAATTCCCTTGCTGGCAACACTCCAGTAAAAGGTCAGGTCCTTCTCATACTTTTAGAAAAACAAAGTAGAAAATTACAAATACTTCAAAGATTCATGTTCTCATCCTTTTGACCTGCTTCCCTTCAATGATGCTGATCACAACCTGTGTATACCTTACTCTGGCTTAGTCAGTTGCTGTGATAAAAAATAAATCATCAGGTAGTGGCTAAATCTTCTTAATAAGCCTATTCAATCTCAGGCTGTCCTTCTGGTAGCAGACACAGCCCATCAATGGGCTTTAGCTTTGTTAAGGCCTTCCAAAGATTGTACTTCTTTGGCATAGCCTTTGAGCACACGAAGTCTTACATAGTTTATAAAATATATAGCAGTGGGTTTAGAGGGTAGGAGGGAATTCACTTTCATAGAAAATTAAATCAAGTGAACAAGTGCTAACCTTGTGATATATATTAAGGCTACAAAGAAAGGCAAAAAACAATCCCTTTCTCTTAAAGAGCTGACAGTTTAATATGGAAGGCGGCATGCAAATATCTATGTAAAATATGATTTTTGGAAATAATCTTAAAAGGAAAACATTAGCATTAAGGTGGATTGGGAAAGGTTTCTTGTAGAAGGTGAGATTTTAAGAAAACCTGAGAGAAATCGGCAGTAACTAATTAAAAGTATGCTTTTTTTCTGAACCAAAGAAAAAAATGAGGAAATATCGTATTTCAGAAAGGTTTATATCTTATTCTTGAAGAGATAGTATTTTTGTATTGTTGCTTAGCTTTTAGTAGAGTGCCTGGGTATCTGTCTCTGGAAACTAGCCTGGTGCAGTAAGGAGCACACTAAACTTGGATCCCCTGAAACCAGAATTCAAATCCCCTCCATGCCATTTATTGATTAGCTCTTGTGATCTTGGACATGCTGTTGAAATTCTCTGGGTCTTATTTTTATCATCTGTAAATAAAGATGTTCTATTAGAGAAGCTGTCAGTTTCCTTCAGACTATAAATATAGGTCTACTACATTTTGTCCAATTTTATGGAAGAAGGCAAAGATGACATACCTATCAAATTTCCAGATGATACATAAAACTGGGCTTCCTAGGTAAAAGATGGGGAAAAAAGCCAGGATACAAAAAGTTTTAGATAGGGTAGGATGTTAGGCTGAATCTCATAATATTAACTGCAATGAGGGTAAATAAAAAGTTATATACATACATACATACATATACATACATATATACATACATACACACATATAAATGCATATATATGTATGTATATGTGTGTGTGTGTGTGTGTGTGTTTTTAGAAATCAACTACCTAAAAACAGGCTGAGGTTAGCCAATAGCTTAAAAAAGTCTGAAATTTGTAGTTGACTACTAGCTCAATGTCACTGATGCTTTCACTAAAGCAAGCATAGTGGCAAGAATGAGGGAGGTGTACTCTGCTTAACATAGGGCAGCTAGGTGGCACGGTGTATAGTGTGCTGGGCCTAGAGTTAGGAACTTTCATATTCCTGAGTTTAAATTTGGCCTCGGACACTTATTAGCTGTGTGACACTGGGCAAGTCACTTAACCCTGTCTGCCTCAGTTTC